GGGTTTAATATTTTTCCTAGAACTTTTTTTTTTTTTTTTTTTTTTTTTCTCCCCACACCAAAAAAAAAAAAAAAAAAAAAAAAAAAAAAAAAAAAAAAAAAAAGGTGGAGGGAGGACAAAAAAGCAAAAAAGTAGAGACAGAGAAATTTCTGAACTTCAGGGTCTCCCAGCCTGGACAAATTGATCAGAATTACAGTTATTACTGAAAACATACTTCCAATGCACATTGTATATAACTTTTGGAATCCTAAGGGATTTATCTGCCATATGTCCATATGAAGAAATACTGGCCAATGCTGGCTTTAGGGAGAGGTCAAGGACTTTAGCAAAAAAGCAAGTAATAGAGCACTGCTTTTGTGACAAAACCTGAAAGTTTTCACTCTCCTTTTTTCCTTTTTTGTTTTAAGTCTGTGCTGTGTGACACGGATGGTCTATGCCTGTCATTTCGTGTCAAAATAAAACAATTTCTTGGCTAGAAAAGGGTGAAAATGCTTTCTCCTGAATTCTATGCAGGGAACCTGGCAGGGAACTGGAGATACGATATATTCCTGAAGGGAGGTCAGACTGCAGTGGTCTGCCCCTCGCCGCAAAGGGGCAGGATGCGCTGGGATCAGAGCAAGCAGTAGAAAGGAAATCAGGAGAAGCTGTAGGTGCAGTAAGGACTGCTCCTAAGAGAAGTCTGTGACACTCAGATACAGAGCAAGGGATCTGTACCAGACATCCGTGTCCTTATTTTGGACCAAAGTATGTATGCATTTTTACTTGTATTTGCTTAAAAACCCCAAACAACCAAAATTCCAATCTTCGAGCTTTTCCTTCTTTAAGGGTTGCAGGTAGAAAGGCCTTGGTGGTGGCATTGGTAACAAACACAGATTCTGAGGCAGGAAGAAGGAGTGCTTAGGGACTTGTGTTTCAGGGCAGTGAAAGCAGAAGAGATATATTTCTTAGGTATATTTGGCCAGAGGTCCCTACCACACAATAGTAAATTATTGTTGCCACCTCCATTGACATTCTGTGGGAACTAATTCAAAGAACTCTGAGTTTTAGATGAAATGGTTTAAAATGGTTTCACAAGTCTCCTCATAGAACAGGAGATTGGATGGACTAGGAGATCTCTAGGTAACCCTACAAATCCATCTTTAAATAAAGAATATGGTGAGCCTGATTCTCCTCCATTGCCTACATTTATTTTAGCTATAAAATGCTCACAGAATCATAGAATGGTTTGGGTTGGAAGGGACCTTAAAGATCATCCAGTTCCAACCCCCCTGCCATGGGCAAGGTAAAGAATTTCTTCCTAATATCTAATCTAAATGTCCCCTCTTTCAGTTTAAAGCCTTTATCCCTTGTCCTGACGCTCCACTCCCTGATAAAGAGTCCCTCCCCATGTCTCCTGTAGGCCCCCTTCAGGTACTGGAAGGCCATGATGAGGTCTCCCTGGAGCCTTCGTTTCTCCAGACCAAATAACCCAGAAAAGCTGAATTTATTGTAGCTGTCCGTGACCGATGGTAGTGTGAGCTGGCTAAGAATCACACCCTTGATCATTGCTCAGTTGCTGTTGTGCTTCAAGCCTCTCTCTCTATCTACAGGCCACCCAAGCGCTTTCACTAGGACAGCCCTGTATGAACCATTGGCTTCCATCCAGCCTGTAAAATGCTTGTAATTATGGAGTGCCATTGAAATGAAATCAGTGAAACAGGGCTCTGCTCTTAACAAATGACGCACAGAATCCAGAGATCCTGAAGACCTTTATGTTTTTATTGTGAAATGATTCCTCCTGTTATTTGGGTCTGTTTGTTAATTGAGAAAAAACACTGTTCTGGTTAGCAGGATCACCATTTAGCATGAAAAGATGCCCGCAATCCCGAGGACAATGCTGTAAAATCTGTTAAATAGCTGACCTACATTTTTTGGACATTGGGATGAAATCCATTGGCATAGTTGGAATAGCGGTCAGCCCCCCCGGCAGCTTTGTACTACTTGGGTTGCGACAGGAATCTGCTAACTGTGTTTAAGAATTCCAAGATGGTTCATGATCGCTTTGTTTTTCCTGCTAAGTTCATACTTCTGAAATGCAAAATAAGGCATTTTAATTTTTGAAAGGATTTACCAGTCGGATTGGAGAATACTGACGTCTGTTTCTCAGAGCTGTGGCTCAGTTGTTTGAAGTCTGTGGAGCAGCAGTGGCTTTAGCTTTCTGATTTGGTGTGTGCATCCCCTAGATGAACAACAGCTCCCAGGCAGTACAGTGAGCCCACTCCTTGTCCCACAAGTCTTTAACGCTCAGGACAGGCGCCGAGTCACAGAAATGGTTTATCTGGAAGGTGCTTTATTGATGCTTCCATAGAGGTGAAGTTCAAAGCAGGTGGATTGAGGGAAACCCTGTAGGATCTTCTGTGTGCAATAACAACCAGGTTCATTCAGGAATGAAGCATCGGGCTTACCCTGTGGCAGAGTGCCTCCAGTGTACATCACTGAAAATCATCTGAATTTAAAAAGTTCTGGTTGTACAGCATGCAGAGGTGAAACAAGTTGGCTTACTAAGTGTGGTATTCAGCCTGTGGTTCTGCATGAATGTAAGGAAACAAAGCGCAGTCTCTTGTATCTTTCAATATTTTCTTTTTTATTTCCATGCACCAAATAGGCATTCTTGTATCTCTTAAAAAAACCTCCCAGGTCAGTTTTTGTGGCCTAAGAGGAATTTCAGTTGTTCAGAAAAGCACAGTCTGAAATTTTTTTCCTTAATAATTGAAGCCAATAGATGCTCCCAGTAGCAAAATTTCTTTGTTTTTCTCCTTAATTACAAGCACCAGCAGAAAGCTGTAGTTAAGACACTGACAATAGAATAAATAGCTGACCTGATGGAGCGTGTTTGGGCTGTAGCCAGGAATGTCATCAGTAGATACTCTCTCCTTTGGGAAATGATTCTTTCTCTTGGCTTTGTAAGTCTTGTAGTAACCTATTTAAAAGTGAAAGATTTTTAATTTTTTTTCCCTTTCTTTCTTTATTAAAAACCAAGCCTTTATTTTTATAAATTGCCAAATTCCAACAGAGTCATCTGGTATACTGTGACTCTTTTGAGAATAGGAGAGAATAATACTATTTGTGAATTATGGATTGGTTCTGCTTTTACTTATATCAATATACATCCTAGAATATGTGCTGTGAATTTATTAGGCTTAGATAACCCTGAGTGAGACGGGTATTATAGCTCAGTTCTGCAAAACGTTGTGTTATTTCCAGAGCGCCATGAACATAACACCCATGGTCTGGAATTCTGTTCTCTCACAAGCTCCAGCGTACAGAGACTGTGGCATAAATGTATCATCAGCGTATTAATTATCTAAGTAATCAAAGTGAATGCCTACAGTTGCTGTTTGCTGGAGATTTCATCTAGTTTCAGGAGCAGAGGAAGTGCCAGCTAAATAACAGCATGCTCCAGACTGTTGGAGACTGATGGTGACCCTGCATTAAAGAAAGTCAACAGCTGTGCAAGGAACCAGAGGCTCCTCCCATTCTCTGTGGGGCTGCTATGGGAACATGGGTATAAGAACCACTAATATGGTCTGGTAGCAAGTGAGGGAAATCTGTTCTACATGATCTAAATATAAAACATAGCATTCAGGTTGATATATCAGTTATGAACCCAGTGCTTTATGTTGTCTGACTAGTTAATTTTTCAGATGTTGAGTGAGTGGAAAGTGGTTCTTGCTCACTCTTCTCATAGGTTGAAGATGTTTTGTAGATAAAATTTGTTCATGTATTTTGTTGCCTGTTGGTGGTGTAGAGGAGTAATTTGCAGAGCACGGATCTGGTTCTTTTCTAGTAACAAAAAATGACAGACATGAAAGTTGCATTTCTGATCTTGTAGGGAAGGGAAGACCAGAACTCGTTTTCTGCCTGAATTTATCTGGAGAATCAAAGTTAATAATGATTATTCAACACTTTGGATTAAAAAAAAAAAAAATAAAATTGTGTCTGCAGATGTCCAAGAGTTGTCTCCTAAATTTAAACTAGCAACCAGATTGGTTCTTCCTGCTGAGAAAGTCATACAAATTGCTTGGGGGCTGTCTTGTGGTGGTGGGGATTTATGTAACTATTCCAACTCCACCGCTCATGTGAAACGGGCAATCTCTCACAGAGTCACCAGGTTTGCACAAAACTTCGAGTGCTGAAATCACTCTTCTCAGAAAGAGAAAGGAAGAAACCCAGTCCAAAAGCAAAACTGGTAAGAGGTAAAAATAAAGTGAAATACAGTTCAGATTTTCAGGAGCTTCACTCTTGCATTCACCAGAATAATGCGTCCCATGATCTACTTCTGCTTCTTATATCAGTTTACATATATAAATATAAGAATTCTCTTTTTCTTTTTAGGTGATCCTGATCCTTACCAAGTATTATCACACTGACATGGGGAAAGTCCTGGAGAGCTCTTTGTGGAGGTAAGTTCTCTGCTGTTCTTGTAACATCCCCCCCGTTCTCATAATAGATCCATCTCTCTTCCCTTTCCAAACTGCTGCTGAGCTGAGTGGTAGCTGATTGATGCTAATCTAGCAGGATTATCCAGTTTGTCACTGGCTCTTACTCCTCCTCTTCCTTAAATGCAGTTCCTGCGGTTCAATGAGAGTTTGAAATGAGTTTTAACAGTAGAGACAAACAAGATAGAAAGTATAAAGTACCTTCCTGATGCTGCTTTGCAGGATGCCATTCTCTTCCTAGAAATTTTACATCTAAATTAAAGACTTTGAAATACTTTCTGTGTTGAAATGTGTCTGTGGGGAGTTCTTACTAACCTCTAACTGTATTGAGGTTAGTAAATAATCCTGATTTGGAAGCAGTCACAATTGGATGAAATATAACACCAGTGCAAGTTATTTTGTGTCTTATGACGATTGGGAAGATGTAGCAATCCAGATAAATTTCTTAATTGATTCTTGTTTCCTTAACATTCGTGAATTAAGAGATCAGTATGCTTGTTGACTGTGTGTGCACAAATTGCACGCTCAGGTGTATATCAGCACAAACCCAGGGCTAGGGGAAGCCTATGTTTTGCTTTTCATATTGGTTATCATCTCCTGTGTTAATTTTGTTTTGCTAAGTGGGCTTTTTATGCTCCAATTTTCTGTGTACCTGTATAAATTTTCCACCACAAACTTTTGCCAGAACCATTATGTACACTTCAAAACTGAAAAGTATTTCACTATTATCAATAAATATAATGTTGCTCCGATGTTTGCTATGCTAGTTTTGCTGGGCCATCTGTAGCAGTAGAAATATTCTTGAAATATTCTGCTGGGATATCTACATAGTTGTTCTAAACGACAGGAGACTTATTTGAGGAGTTTTATGTGAAATTCTTATGTCAAATTCATATGTAGCTCATAAGATTCAGGTCAGAAACAAATGGGTTATCTAATACCATGTGGTTTAGATACTTGTAAACTTTATAGACCTTTGTATGGGCACTCAACCTTCACCTTTGTGTATAAGGAGCTTTACCAAGACAATCCAAGAAAAGCACTGGGCAAGGGAATAGGGAGTGGGAAAAGTCTGTGACCATGACATGCTGTGCATGAGCCTTTTTACTTGTTTTGAGGAGGCTGCATTGTTTTAAGCTTGTGGGGTTTCTCACAGTGACAGCGTATCTTTGCAATACCTTGTAGTGAGTAGTACAGTCTGGCCAGGGGCAGTGGTCCATGTAGCTCAAGGGTGTTTTCAAGTGAAAAAGAAACTTCTAGTCATAAAAAGGGGGTGTTCAGGAAAGAAAGTAAGATCAAATGGAGACTGTTTAGTATTGCTCAGGATTGGCCATTTAGGCCTATGATGGTTCACTTATAATTATTCCTTAAACTTACAAGATGCAAAATTAATTGCACGTTTGTTTCTGGTTTATTTTTTCCCCAACATCTTGTGCAAAGAAGACAACCAAATGGCAATTTGGATACTCCCGTAGTTGCGTAAGCACACATTGCTTTCCTGTTCTATGCCCCTGGCCTATGCAACATGTGCAATATGTTTCAAGTTTTGCTATCCACGCTTCAGTGTAATCTATCATAGAAGTCTTTTAAACTTATTCAGTTGGACTCTTCAAAATAAACTCTCTGCGCTTTCAAAATAAACATAAAACAGGCTTCAGATAATGTTGCTTTCTTTGGAGAACATAAACACTTCAAACAAGGTCATTCAGACCTTGCTGACAGCTGGTGTAAAGAAGAACTGGTGTGAACTGCATTCAAATAAAATTGATGCTAGCGTGCATCATAAGCAAATCAGGCCCTTTTTCTTACAAGTAATAGATGTACCAGATGCTTTGGTTGTTTATGAAGCTAAGATGGAAAAGCTGAAAGGAAGCAAGTGCTTAAGATTAGCACTTGGGGCAGGGGTGGTTGCTGATCCATCCCTAGGTGTGTTCTGCTCTGGGCTCACCTCCTTCCTCTACCTCTGCCCGCTGTGATGTAAAAGCCACACGTGTGGTTGGAAGACTTGGGGGAGTCACAAAGTGCCTGGATCTGGAAAAGCACAAATGACACCAAGTGGTGCAAAAATATCAAATAGTGCCTCTCTCTGTTGAGAAATAGCTCATTATTTGTACTAAGTAAAATAAAAATAAATTCTGTTGGTGAAGGAACTTTTGTGTTTTTCCTCTGTGTAATATGTACACTGGTGAGGCTCCATGTTTGCTGATAGAGCTGGGGTGTTGTACTCACATTGGCAGCCTGCCCAGAATGCACAGTGTATATATTTTTAAAGTTTTTTTGTTTGATTCTCTTTTGCATTCCTCTCATTTGCATCAGAACAAATACACAGTAAAACAGGTGTGAAAAATGTTACAGGGATGTTTGTCAGAGGACAAAAACCATTAATCTTTGTGAGGTTTCTATGCCCAAGTGGGAATGGATCCTGGTTATTTCCTGAACTGGTCCAAATGTTTTTCTTCTTCCTACTTGTGCTTCATATACTCTAAGTCTCTAAGTGAAAATAAACTTGTTTTATAACCTGATCAGTCCACACCAGGTTAATTTTTGAATATTGTTCATCTCCCACTTTCATGTTGCCAATCAGTATGTATTACTTACCCTTGCTTGGCATTTTTTGGTCCTTTGATTTCTTGAAACTGCATCTTTCTTTTCTTCCTCTAAAACGTATTTCCTCTTCATCGCTCTTTCTTTTTCTCCCATCACTCAAAATAAACAGGTTTTTTTTCCTTGCTTAGGTAATGAGAAGGGAAGGGTGACTCAATGGTCCAGTGATGCTTATTTGTTCTTAGTGACCTTGGAGTTGCAGTCAGACTTTTAAGAGTAATACAAATGGTGGAGGAAAACACCCGTTGGAGGTCCTTGCACGGGGGGTGCTTTATGTGAAGAAGATAGATGTTTGGAAGTGGACTTCCAAACTAAGTGACGAATTTCTCTGCCTCTGCAGAGTGTTGTTAATTTGTGCAAGTAGTTTATGCCTGCCAACATAGATCAGGTTACAGGATTGGGAGGCCTAAATTTTAATTACCTTGGAATCTTTTCATTGTAGAATAAACAGGGAAAACGGTGCAGGATAATGAAAATCTTAACAATTTTTTACTATTAGCAGCCATGTCTGGTTACAGCAAAGAGGTGGAGGCATAAATCTTGATGGAAGCATGTAGTTAGAAAACACCAGGGTGTGCTTCTCTAGTTGCCTATTTCTGATATTTTGCTAATTTGTCTATTAAGTAATTGTTAAGCGTGAGGCAATTGTTATTTGACTCAAAGTAAGGTAGGGAAGTAAACACAGATGACATCGGTTGCCTCTTGAATGTAAAATAAAGTAATTTGAGAAGGAACACAGGATTTTCAGGTTTATATTTAGAGTTTCTAAGCTGCAGTACGTATTGGAAATACAGGTGGGTGGCTGTGTTAGGCCTCTTTAGCATAATGAAAAAACTGATACTGTGACTAAAATTTAAAATTCAGGTACTCAAACTATCCTTGCAAATTGTGCATGTCTTGAAGATACTTGGCATACCAGTGCCGTTCCCGTCAGAGTCCACACGCCTCTTTGTCCTGCGTGCTTACTGTGTGAAGGACCCAAATCAAAAAGATGATTTAGGAAAATAGATACTTGAATACGTGTTTTCATATACTTTATGCGCCAGTTTGTGTATAAATACATAGGTGCACACATTTTACAGGCTTGGGTGCCAGCTTGTACAGGTTGCATGCCTGCAGCTTTAGACGTGTGTACTTGAATCTTACATTCACATACTTTAACTTTGGATTGGTAGTCACTAAGAAATTCATACTAATACTTACCTGCACAGCTGAGCTAATTAATCCTAATAATATCTCTTGGAAACAAATATATATTATTGCTATCATAATTACCTGAGATGGTAACTGGTTGCTGAAGGTCATGCAGTGACTCAGCACTCTATGGCTATGGAATTGACTTCCAACCCTGTGCTTAGTCTGGCTTATTCTTATTTCTGGTATGCATGCAGCCTTCTCTTCTTAACTTGATCGAAACAATGAATAATAGATGCTGCTGATGATTGCTAATAAAGTTTTGATTGCATATTATCAAGCTGTAATGATATGGTAGTGCTAGTGCGACTTGCTGTGTAATTGCCATTGTTCCCAATGGCATCACCATGTTGTTATTGCTTCACCACAGCAAAACAAATGGCATTATTTGATGTTAACTGCACCGTTAACTCCTCTCAGCATTGCGTGCTGAACCCCAAATAGGCCCATTTTCAGAGATGTTGGGATGTTTTGCTCCATGTTGTCAATAATGAACTGCTAACTGAAGAAACAGACTTCTCTGACTGCTTAAATGTGGTTGGAACATCCTGGGACTCCTTACTCCAAAAGCAGCGTGAGTAGGGAGAGTGGTCTCCGCTGAGTCCAGGTCAGTGGCCGGGGCAGCTGGAGGTTAAGAGAAATTGGATGAGTCTCATGGACAGCATGAGACTTTGCAAACAATTGTTTCTATCTGTACCCACAAAATGCCACATATTTAGGGCAAGACCAGTTTGTACAAGCCTGCTAGCTGTCATTAGCCATCAATGTGCGGTGACATTGGTGCTTTGGGCAGTTACAGAAAGGTGCACACCTACACTGAGGTTAAAACCCAGGCTACAAAGAGCAGGAGATTCTTTTAAGGTAGACTCAGTGAACAACATACCACTTAAGAAAATAAAATTTCCAGACCCTGTGTGGCTCACAGACTGCAAGAAAATAAGTATGGGCATTTGTTTCTAAACTCTATGGACTTGTAGGTGGACTTCACCTGTTTAGTGAAATTAATTTAAAAAACCAAAACAGTAAACTCAATACAGAGTCTGGTGCCCCAGTGAAATTCTTTCTTGGTGTGAAGCGCTGCTTAATAAGTGAGCAACTGTATTCTGCAGCACCTTGTGCTTCCAGATGGTCTTATATTGTGGTTCTGCTTTGAAAAGTGACTTTGT